ATATATATATATATATATATATATATATTATGTGCTATTTTGAGTTATGTTTATTTAATTAAATAAAAAAGTTGATCTTGGGTTAATCTCTTTACTTGTGGTTGAGTCAAAGGGTTTATTTGAAGGGTCACTTACCAATTTTTCGTTTAATGTTTATGCTTTTCAAACACTTATACTGAACCTTAGGAATGCACAAAGAGAATCTCTAGGTTGAAAGAGGAAACAACCTTAAAGATCCTTTATCAATATCAAACTTTTATTGAGGTAAGACGAGAGTTAGTTTTCTTGCTAGTAATTGTTGGATAGTGGACTGACCTCAATCTTATTATTTTTTTTTTATTGTTTTGACACTATCACATGTAGTATTTTTAGTAATATTTACCTACCTTATATTTATTGAAATGTTTATATAGATTAAGTTAATAGATTATTGTAATATTTTTAAAATGATAATTAGATTAAGTTTATTAGAACATTTACTCATAATTTAATAAACTTTTTCTAATGTTGCTAAAAACAAATTTTGTTGTAATGAAAGGAATATTGAGAATGACCTTGATTGCTTGCGTTTTAGTAGATAATTATCTATATGTCTTCTATTTTCTTTGGATTGAGAATTAGACGTAATCTCAGTTATTGAGACGAATTAATATAAAAATATTTTAGTGTTCCATTTGACTACTCTTCTTGCTTCATCTGACTAATGTTACTATCTCACTATAGAAAACATGCGAGTTTTTTTATATACACAATTCAACTCTCCTTCTAGTATTTATCTTTTCTCCACAACTTATATAGTAACTTAGGAACACATGTCAATGGCAGACACTCCATGAAAGGTGTCTAATATCCAACACTCTCACTATGGGAAAGATGCATCAAGGCATGTTAAAACAACAATGTTTTGCAAGCTTAACCCACTATACACAACGTACAAAACTAAGACTCCTAAACCCTGTTGTCCCCAAAGTCATAAATTCCCAAGATCATAAGTGATCCCAATAGAGACGACTTTTTGGTGGAAAAAATAATAATGTGGCAAGAGTTTTGTTAACCACTATAAAATGAGGAATTGTTTCCAAACAAGTACATTTTTTTGGTAATTAATTTTTAAAACTACCCTAACGTGTTTAAAAATATAATAAAAAAGAATTATTAATTAAAGAGTAAATAGTTTATACACTAATTATATAAATAATATTTATAATTCAATTAAAATTTATCATGTTTAGTAAATTTATCAACTTTATAATAATTATTTTTTAAAAAATATATTAATGATAATTTTAATTAATTTATAATATAATTTTTATATTAATGAAGTTCTTATTTAAAAAGATAAATTTTTAATGATATATTATTTTTCAATTGAAAAATAAAAAAGTAAAGGAAAAGAAAATAAGTAATTTTAAGTATCCTCTATTTAGAATAAAAAATGTTACATTTTCCAAATCTACTCATCATATTATATTTTAATTTATGAAAAGTTTAACATGATTTGATTTATTATTATCATTTTAACATTTAAAGATGATTTCATAACTACAAGTAAACTATCATATAATAACACATATTTTACAATGATATAATATGTGTCATTAAAAATATATATCTTTATCTACATATTGAATATAATATATATTAATATATTATTTTAATATAAATTATAATGACACATAAAATATATTATTAAATTATATTTAAAATTAACATTTAAATTATATATAATTATATATGAAATAGATATATACATCATAACTATAATAATAGTTTTTATACTTTTTATATATAACATTTTTTATTTATTTTTTTATTTTTGCAGGAAACCTTGGGCGTGTAGCATTCCTCATTTAGCATTAAATCCAAACCCCACACCAAATGACGCCCTAGTGGAGTGTGTGGAGAATCCGTGACTGAAAGGACTCTGAAAAGAACTGATAAAAAATATAATAATAATAATAATGGGTGGTGAAGATTCTACCGGTCGATCTTTAAATTTTTTTTTTTTCCTTGAAGTTACTCCCACCATTATTTACGTGAGAGAGGAAGAAAGAAAAATAAATTTAAGTCATATATTTATATATAAATATTTAAAATTATTTTAAAATATAATATAATTTATTATAACAAGTCATTTATTTGAATAATATTAAATTTAATTTTTTTACTAAGTAGAAATCTTATATATATATATAATATTGTTGAGAGGAAATATAAAAAAAATAAAAATTAAGCCAGTGATACATAATATGCTACACCGAAAATGCGTAAATAATATATTTAACGTCAGCAAACTTAATTGCTTCCGCCAGCCGCCGAATATACGGCGTTGAGATTAGATTTGTGACACCCTTACTACCCCAACATGTATATTGTAATAAATCTTTTCAGTTACAGTAAAAGGGTTCACATAAGAAACTTCAACAACTACACTAATTGAAATATCAAACATAAAACACAAGATTCTTTACAAATTGTTTTCAAAATAATATTACAGTACCAAATTCACATAAATATTTCATCCTAAAAATCCTTTGCCCCGATGTCACAATATCAGAGCATTTCCCAAAATAAAACAGTTGGCATTCTAGATGCCACTCGTAGCCGGATCTTCTCCACCTAAAATATCCACAATTTATACGGTGAGAAAAGAAGATATCTATATGCAAAGTACATCCAAACACACCATGTTAAAATCTCATCATATTTCTTTATTTAATAAATTATTTACGATCATGTATCATAGTTTATCAATTCATCATAATCCACTTAGATTTTATAATTAACAAAATCATTTATACCTTTTTTCATTCACATCATTAAAACAATTATTTCACTATTCATAACTCATGTCAATCTCAACATCATCAATAATTCATGCCAATCTCAACAATTAACACTATGTCAAGACCTCGCCACATCTGACACAAGTGATACGGGTTAATTGCCTCACTCAACCCACACCAGACCAGGGTCATGCCCTCCCTGTAGCATCACTTACCCAGGGGCCATGCCATCCCTAATCATTTGGTGTGAGGAAACACAATCACATTACAATCAATACAATCTCTTGCAATTAACCCTATGCCAGGGCTGCCATAAACGACATAAATGGTGGTGTTAACTGTCTTACTCATCCCACACCATGCTAGGGTCACGCCCTCCCTGTAGCACCACTTACCCAGGGGCCGTGCCGTCCCTAGTCATCGATGTGAGACACCACAATCACAATCAAAATCACATTCATACATCCTTTCATCTTATAACTCAAATTCATATCACGTACGCAATTCCATATCACATAGATAACAGATAAGCTCAATATAATAGGGTTTACATACCCCTCAAGCAATTCACATCAATATCATTAATTCTTAACAAGTAATATAACAATAACTTTCATTAATATAATAATCAATAGAATAATTAATATAAACAGTAAAACCCCTCATTATTCCAAAATCTAGCTCACCGCATTTTCCTTACAATTCATTCTTCTTCACAGATCATCATTCCTACACTTAGGCATATTTATAAACCTCAACACAGATAATTTTAATAGAACCAATAATTCTCCAAATCAAATAATTGTAAAATCAATCATAATCCTAAGGAATTCTTCCTCTACCCAATTCCCTCATGTACTATACATATAAATAATCCCCTTTTCCCCCGTACCTGGATAAATAGGAACTCAGGCAGAACCTCCTCCTCTTTTTCTTAAACCGGACCGGAACTAGAGTAGAACCTCCTCTATCTTCCTCCTCCTTTCTCTCCTTAGGCAGAACCTCCTCTACTGGATTCTTCTTCTTCTCTCTCCCCTTTTCCTTCCCCTCCTCTCTCTCTTTCTCCCTTTCTCTCTCTTCTTTCTCTCTCTAGGACCTCTTCTCCAAGTTATGAATTTCCAAATACCCTAGGGCCCTATTTATAGGCATTCTGATGCACCCGGAACGGCCCGTACTGAATTCGGAACGGCCCGTTCCGGAACCTTCGAATCTGTGCAAATTTTTGAACTGGAACGGCCCGTTCTAAAACCAGAACGGCCTGTTCCAAAACCCAGCAGAGCGACCCGTTCTCCTTCCGGAACGGCCCGTTCTGCAAGGAGAACGCCCCGTTCTCCTTTGGAGAACAGCCCGTTCCAGACCCGTTCCGAAACTTAAAATTTAGCCACTTTCTTTATTTCAGAACGGCCCGTTTCACTTTTGAAACGGCCCGTTCCGGGCACGAATTGGGCCTAAGGCCCAGCGAAAAATGGGCTGTTACAAGATTGATATTTTTTGTACAAGATTATTTTATTTTGTCTTAAATATTTTTTTTTAATTTAAAATAAATTTAGTTTTGTCCCTTAAATTTTAAATTAGTCCTTTTAATTCTTATTATTTAAAAAAAAATATTTTAGTTTCTGTACTCAAATTTTGTTGAAAAATTTGTTAAATATTGTTGAATAAAATTTATATACCAGTATCATCATTAATGTAAATATCATATTAAACGTAACTGATGGTGTATAATTATCTCTATCTGTCACTTTTATATATATTATTGGTGAGTTGAGGGACTAAAACATGATTTTTAAAAAATATAAAGACATAAAATAATAGTTTTAAATTTGAGAAATAAAAAATAAACTTACTTTAAATTTGATGAACTAAAAACATATTTAAGCCTTTTTTTATACAAGAGAATTGATTGTTCATTAGAGTTAAGATAAAATGATTAACTAAAATTAATAGGAGAAATATTAATAATATTTTTTTAATATTTTATTTTCAATACTTTTTATATTGTAACATTGTGTTTAAGGTGTTTTTAATTTAATTATATGATTTAAATGTTGTTGTGTTATTATGAAGGTTGTTTTAAAGCTCTAAAGGTTTAGAAATTCTAAAAGTTAAGTTGTCTTTAAAATAGTTGAGTCAAAGTTAAGTTGGTTTAGCTTAAGAAAGAATATATAAAGTTTTCTTAAAACATGAACCTTATAAGTTCATGTTTTAAGAGAGAAAAGTTAGAGAGAAGTTCTCCAAACCCGAAAATTTCTTCTCCCTCATGTATACTGAAAATCCTTTTCTTCTTCCATCCTATAGTTGATTCACTTGGCTAAGTTGGAGATTCGAGCTCTCAAAGTTGAAAATCTTAAGTCGGAGGTTGTGCAATATCTTTGATCCCTTTCACTTTTCTCGGTTCAAAATGGCTAGAGGTAAAGCAAGCTTTTTGTTTGAATAAATATTAATGCATGATGATTGTTGATGCCTAGAATCATTGATCTATAATTGTTAATTGATTGAATTCATGAGATGAGAATTGATGAAGTTGGGGTTTTCTTGAAATATTGGCTATGAAGAGTTTGTTAAGACAGACAAAGACGAAAGCAATTCCCAGCAAGGTTTTGAATGAGACAAATATAATACATGTTGTTATTTCTAACAAGTGTGTTAGTATTTCAGATATAAGTACAGACGAGTTGAAGAATAAAGAATATGCATGTGTTACCGTCCCCACCAGAACCGAGAGATATGAGCTAAGCACTAGATAAAGGCTGATTAAAGGAAGGGAATACATAAGACGAAGATATCCAGACACAAAAGAAATAAAGAAAAAGGACAAAAGCTAACAAAATGTCAGATGAGGAGATCCAACGATCAAACGGAATCAAGCTCAGCACAAGAAGGAAAATAATGAAGCCTCAAATGATACAAGACCATGGATGATGGACAAAACTAGGTCAAAGCATCCTAGACGGTGTCAAGAACTTACAACAGCCAACCAGACGGAGACTCGAATACACAGACGAAGATCAGGAATGCTGGATTGCATATGAAGAACACAATGAGACAAACTACCTAGCACCCACACTCTCAGAAGAGCACATGAAGTAATCAAAATAAAAAAGAGAGGAAGAAAAAATGGACTAGCGTTTATCCACAGATCAAAAGCTGCGTGTGTCAGAGCAAATACACCTACCAATCAGCAAAGGACAATGCCTTTGTAGCTACAATATCAGGAAAATACAGAGATATCTTAATGACAGACATAGTAGCAAACAAATGGTACAAAAAAAAGACCTCGTGGAATGCAGATTCAGCAAGCAAACATTTAATGCAAGATCAAAGGCATTAAATGCAAGAATCCACGAAGTCTGTGCAAGCTAAACAAAAGAATCAGATGATGGCTAGTCAAGCATTAAAAGTTAGGACTGATCACGGACGAAAGAACATTCAACAACATTGGATAAGGACTACTATAGAAAAGAGGAAATGGAGTATCAAAAGAAAAGCCAAGAATAAGATCAAACATGGAACAAGGAAAGTTGTGAAACCAGAAGATCAACTCTGATAAAAGAACAGTTGCGGCAAGGCATGACATGAGAACCAGACAATTCAAGCTAATCAAACAGACAAGGCACAATGTGTACACCAAACGACTACAAGTCCAATATCAGATAGATGTGTATCAAAGAGCAACCTCCAAGGCATCATGAAGAAATGGACCAAGCATGAGACACAGATAAGAAGAAGGTCAACAACGCGAAAGACAAAAGACATTCCAGACAGAAACAAAGTCTATCTGCAGAGTTGACCAAACTAATGGAGAAGCCAATGCATCAATTCCCAGACAAAGATCCAAAACGTGAGAAGCACATGAAGTGATTAGACGCAGACGAAAATTATCATGAAGAAAAGAATCAGATATCAAAGAAAGACTCAAACATCGTCCACAATCATACAAGAAGCTCTCAACGTTAAGGGAAAGAAAGAAAGAGAAGGGGAACAAGTCAAAATAGGAAGCATGCATGTGTTAGAAAAAGTGCGTCACTTTTTTCAGAAAAAGACAACACTCTATGAGTCACAAGACCAGAAAATGACAAAAAGGTTCCTAGATCTTTGCTAAAGTCAAGCACAGCTGCTAACAAGATAAAGAAGACTTCATGCAATGTCTATCACAGGAAACAACATTTAATGCAAGAACTCAAGCATTAAATGAGTAGATCAAACTAGTCCTGAACAACTATATCTGCTTCAACGGATACTTGCAACGAGAAGCTCCGCTTCAACGGATATATTCAAAATCAAGCAACAGGCAGATTCTACAAGACTATATATATCACTACCTCAAATCTTAAAAATGAGGCTTTTGATGGGATGAGTGATATCAAGCCAACAAGATAGAGAGACCAGAGATGAGCGTTCATAGTCATATGAACAATGTAACATTGTATGTTTGTCTTTGTAAGACTAAGGTAGCAAACCTTAGTGAGTGTAGAAACATATGTATCCTCTCCTTGAGAGTAACCCATATACTCAAACCAAACCTGTCTAGCCAACATCGTAAAGCTTGAAGAGGCTAGAGAAAGAATACTTGTAAAGCCCGAAAGGGCTTGTCAAAGAATACTCACTAAGAGCCAGAAGTGGCTGAACAAAGAATACTAGCGCTGGTGAGGCTGGCGGGCCAGGAGTTGGTCGAGAATACTCATTGAGAGCCAGAAGTGGCTAAACAAAGAATACTAGTGTTAGTGAGTGAAGCTGGTTGGCTAGGAGTGGTCGATAATACTTGGAGAACCAAAAGTGGTTTAAGAATACTAGCGCTGGTGAGTGAAGCTGGCGAGCTAGGAGGTCAAGAATACTTGGGGAACTAGAAGTGGTTTAAGAATAATAGCACTGGTGAGTGAAGCTGGAGGGCCAGGAGTGATCGAGAATACTTGGAGAACCAGAAGTGGTTTAAGAATATTAGCATTGGTGAGTGAAGTCAACAGGCCAGGAGTGGTCGAGAATACTTAGGTCCATGAGTGGACGATAATACTCAAATGTTCTTCATTTCATATCTAGTGGAACCTTTCAGTTGAAGGAGACTGGACGTAGCTCAGTTGAGCGAACCAGTATAAAAATGATTATATTATTTTATTTATATTTCAGACGCAAACTCTTCTTAATTGACAAATCATATTAAAATCTTTGTCTACTATCTATTCCTCATTAAAACCATTTTTCAGACGAAGACGCAAATTTCGTTTAACAAACATATTATACTGAAAAATTTTATCTATTGCTTATCCTTAAATGAAACTATCTTGAAAAGGAAAATTCAAGAACTTTAATTATCATTATAAACCATTTTCCCAGCAGACGATAAAATCTTTCAGACGCAATGACCTTGTGTTAAGAAAATTCTGCATAATCGCCTGACATCTAAAAGTACATTGGACGAAGAAAATTACTCTTGCAAAAATGATTTTAAAAATACCTTTGTTAACACACATATTCAACCCTCCCTTCTATGTGTTTTTTCATGTCTAACTTCAGAGTTGTTAATGATCCTTGTGAATCTTGGTTGCATGCCAATTTTGGAGTTGTTTTTGAGTCCTACAAACTGAATATATGTTGTTTCATGTTGGTTTTTGGCGGGATTTCAAGTAGATTTGGTAAATTGAGTTTCTTCATAACTGCAAAAACTAGTATCACGCTAGGTGTGGCTTGAAGTCAGGGATTCTTAGTCTCATCATATTAGACCAAGGATTGGTGGCATTAAGCTTAAAAAAAGATAATCGTCTTTGTCTAGATTGACATTGAGCATCAATGGAGTGGTATCAAACATAAATTAGGTAGAGGCTTTTTGCTTAATTATGGTTGGACATGGTGTTGTCATGCCAAGCACGAGAGAGTGGGAGGCTTTTTACCTCAATCACGCCAGGTGTGGGTGAGACAAGAAGTCCCCTACCTCGATGGTACTGGGTGCCCAAAGGATGACATCGGGCACAAGTTCCATCGTTTTAATGTGATGTTTTAAGTTATTTTATGATTTTAAGATGATGATTAAGTTGTATGATGAAGATGGTACAATGATATTTATGTTGTTAAGTTGTAAGTGGATAAATGATTAAGTTGTGAGGTTGTATGATGCTCTAGTTAATTAAGTTGTTAAGTTGTTTGGTATGACATGTCTTTGTTAAGATACATAAAAATTAGAGGAG